CATTCTCTATATCTGGAATTGCTTCAGGAGCCTTTTAAGTATATTAGAAAGAGCAGTAACAGAAAAAGCATTTAGAACTAGAAATGTCACACACATCTATCTCACACCCCACCTGGAGCCAAGAGCCTCCATGAGGGTGGACAGGATTCAGGAGCATAGAGCTGGTTTGCAAGATCTGCAGACAGGTGCCTCTTACACCCTCACAACAAGGAATGTTCGCAGGCAAATCTTTGGTCTACACTCTACACTAATGCTAAGTGAAAGAGCACACACTCTCTAAAAGACTCATGAGAGCAATGCCTCCAGCTCCCTTCACATGCGAGTGACGGCCCTGGACACAAGCAGGAACCTGTGCAAGGATGGAAACAAGGCTTGCCGGGATCCTCAATGTTCTAGCCAAGCTTCTTCCCTTGTGGGTCTGGAAAGAGATGCTGCATTTTGTCTGCTACTAAGGATCACATCTAGAGGCTACTGCTGGGGCTGAAAAGTTGAGCAGGGTTCATCCTGTTACAGTCACATGTAGCCACAATTCAACTCCCTTTATTAGAAGTATAATACTCACTTCATATCACAAATGTATAAAAATATGGCAGATAGTGTCATAACGATACTTTCTTTAAATGAATATATTTATAAAACAGACAGATATTTACTATATATATTTATATATATATAGAATAAAATACTCCTGATGCAATATATAAATGTTACTGTTTAGTTTTTATAGAAACTACTGTAGCTGTCTCACTGCTTCACAATGTTCCAAACAGCTTAAAATAACTTTACATTATAACATAAAAGGTGTGATTATAACAGTACAATATTAATTATAAATAAATGTTACAAATCCTATCAAATATGGAACCTTAGAAAACAATTTAAGACATACAGTTCATCTGCTAACCCTTCAAAGGGATACTCTTGGATTACAATAAACCCCACATTTAGTCTAGGCAGAAAAAAATATGTGGTAAGGGCATCGGTCAACATGAATTTTTCTATCCCTTGCAGTGCTAGGACATGTTCCTAGCACTTAGGCTTTCCCAAGTTCAACAGAGATTGCACTAAAGCTGGAATGTAAGGGGGGAAACTGACAAAATTTCTTCTTCCTCAATGGCACACTCTACCCATTCTCACACAAGACCTGTGGGGAGTGGTGATCCCTAAGGAACTCCCTTGGCTCTAAGATCCCTGACTAGCATTTGTGGCTGTGAGGAGCCAGATGGCCCCACACATACAATATTGCACACACCTTCATAAAGCTGAGAATACTGGCTTACCACCCAGGCCCAGCCCACTCCCCAACCCAGCCCTACCCTACCCTCCCAACTGCCTTGTCCCCCTTCCCCCCACCCCAGCCTGAATTACAAGGCTGTCTCTTTTAAATCATTCAGATTTGGCATTCGTGAGCGATTTGTTCTGTTATAAGGGTGCCCATTTGGCCCACTCTTGACACCCAGCTGTTCAGAGTAGGAAGGGCCCTCTGTGGCACTTCTGGTCACAGAGGACACGTGCCAACCAGGATCCATCTGACCTGGCAGCTGGAGGGCTGGCCTGCCCTTTGGTGTGGGCTCCTGCCGGATGTTGCTGCTCCCACCAGCGGCTTGGCTTAGGGGGTGAATCCGAATTTCTGCGAAGGAATTTTTGGTTGGTTGAGCTGTTAAGGGCTGGAAACGGGGATCTGAGGGAGCTGGGTGATTTGAGGCTGAAGAGAGATGTAACAGCTTACGCAGTGATTTTAATGGCTGGCTCTGAAAGAAAGGATGAGAATGCATGTATGATTTAATCTAGCGCAAACCAGGGAGCCAATGGAACTCAGAAGGGAGGTGACCAGCTAAGGCCAGGGAAGGCAAACATGTGATTACAGAGGCTAGTCTAAGTCTAGCTGCTCTCTGGCTTTCTTCAGACAAGAATGCAGTTGCTTTTCTTTCAGATGAAGCCCCAGAAATCTACAGAAGACAACTAGAACTCAAAGACCCAGGCCTTTTCCATCTGGCTACATGCTATCTTTACCATGACGTATTCATGCTTCAGCCACAGGAAGAAGGAATAAAAAAGGGATATGCCTCTCCTTTCTGAAAAGATTTCCCCAAAGGTCCATACACGTAATACTTCCACTTAGACCTCAACAAGCAGAATTTAGGCACACAAGCATATCTAGGAGCAAGAGAAACTGGGAAAATATGTTTCAGTTTGGTAACAATACACTGAGCTAAAAATCATATATCCATTTTTGTTTTTCCCTCCCAATCTCTTTTTTCCCTTGATAATACAAAATCTCAGTGTTCCCTGCTGTAGTTTTACTTTAAAAATTGGGGGGAGGCAGTGAGATAGCTCAGCGGACTAAGTGCCTTCTTAGGCAAGTGTAGGGACAGGGGTTTGATCCCTGACATCACATGCCCTGCCAGTCCAGCCCCCGGGCACACTGAGCCAGCCACCGAGACCTGGCATGGTGGCACATGCCTATAATCCCAGCACTGGGGAGGCTGAAAACAGGAGGATCATTATGAGTCCGAGCTGCATAGTGAGACCCTGTACCAAATATATACATACATACATACATACATACATACATACATACATACATTTGGGGACAGGTAAGGTTTGAGCATCAAAAATACAAAGCACAGAGTGTCAGTACCCTACATGGCTCTCAATAGCCTTGTCTGTCTGCAGTACAGCTGCTGCTGGCCAAAGTCCAACAAGTTGCTACACTGTGAAGGAAGACTCATGTCAAGGCAGAATCAGTTGGAGATGCAAAGTTACTTGAAAAGAACTTCCAGGAAAAAGAAATGGTTTTTCCAAGGATTCTAAAGCCCCACATTCTTTTATTTACTGATTTTTAAAAACGTGTCAGAACATATTAGGTTCTCACTCAGAGTCTCGGCTCCTTAGTTTGAATATATATCTGATAAACTTACATAACTGGTTCTCTATGTCTGCTCATGCCCAAGCCTACATTTTCTAGAAGTAGAAAACATCTGTGGTTAGGAAGAGAGAATGGCAGTTTAGGGAGTTCTGGTCCACAGTTCTAAGTTAACACCTTATAGTTAAAAAGAGTAAATAAAAACTGTATCAACCAGACCTCTTCCTTCCAAATCACAGAGACCTATGACATAATTAAAGGAAATACAGTAGATTATATGACTATGTTCATTAGAAGATACTGAACAGATATACTGAAATATTTCCAATCAAAATAGTTGTTTTAAGGACATAAATCTGAATTAATTGAAACCTTTCCTAATTTACTTTGTTTATTCCCCCATTACAGCAGCTACATATTAGCTACACAACACTAATAGGTAGTTTCTAATGCAACTATTTGTTTTCTATCAAAAATAGTGCAAACATGTACAAATTACTAAATAAATAAAAAAGTAGATTTTAGAAGTATAAATATTCTTTTTTTTAAAAATTTTATTTATTTATGTGTGTGTGTGTGTGTGTGTGTGTGTGGCCAGCTCAGCCCACCAGGGGGCGGGCTGGCTGGCATGTGGTGCTGGGGGATTGAATCGTGGTCCCTGTGCTTTGCTAAACTTGTTCTGAGTAGGTGCTTTAGACCACTGAGCCATCTCACCAGCCCCTAAATATTCTTTCAAGAAGGTTTATTATACTTATCTTTGAAGGCCCAATTCATGTTATCACCACCGTTAAGGAAACCTTAATCTTATCATCTCTGCTCATCATCCCCAATGTTTTATGACATACCTCACTTCATACCAAGATCTTATGAAGATCACTATGGATATCCTTTCTCTCTTGGGCTGTAGAATATTGGCTGCAGAAAACTATGTCTTCTTCTTTCTGCTAACCACCTGCACCCTCTCCAGCTAGATGGAGACTTCTGAAGGGCTTGCTTTTTCCCCACTGGGACATGAGTCAGTAAAACAACATTCATCCTGACTCCCAAGATGCACCTGGCTATTAATGAGAGTCTATTTGGGGGAGACTCTCATCTTTGCTGTAACATCCAGAGGCTAAGTGTTTTTTCCACTGCTCACCCCCACCCCTGGAACCACCAACGAGTCAGTCTAGGGGTGGTGTGGCCTCCACTCACTTGGGTCTGTAGATCTGATAGTTTCTCAGGGCGCCACTCCTTTGGTCTGCTGCTCGTAGTGCTAGCAGAATGAAGGGCTTTCTGTAATGTCAAAAGATCTGGACCTTCAGAATTGGGTACCTAGAGCAAAAGATAGAAAAGGAATTAATACGCATACCAATAAAACTAATGAAGATATACAACCATACCCAAGAGGAGAACCAAATCAAAGTGAAAATCAAAGCAAACTAAAAAAAAAAAGACCCAATAAAGAAACCCAAATTCTCCCAATGTTCATAATGCAAGTGATGCTAGTTAAATTCTGCTGCCCTCTTAATAATTTTCCCTGTATTAGGAAAAATTGGCAGATGTCATGCAGCATTATTAAAACTTCAAACCTTAAAGCATTCCCATGCTGTTAGTTTCAGTTGCTGTAAGAGAGAGCAGTTAAATTGGGCTGTACCAGGAATTACTGTCGTATCCTCATTCCATATTGCAGTTAGGTTATGAACCAGTTCAATAAAACAAAAAACTTTTCCTGCTGGGAAAATAATCCAAACACCGTATTTGGTGGTGTTAAAGAAGACTAGTAGGCTTTTAAGGATAGCAAAGTGGGAAAGTATGGTTTGAATCATATTCCCAAACCATTGCCCAGCCAAACTGGGTATAGCATTGTACACTACGTAAATGATGGAAATTTGTGCCACAAATTCCAAGTGAATGCAATTGGTCCATTCACCAAATCTGGTGAATAAAGGAGAGTTATGACAAATGCCAAGCAAAAGCCATGGCTGTAAACTAAGGGGCCAGCAAAAGCTAGAGCAGGCGAGGAAAGAGCAAGTTACCAACTAGTAGAAGCTGTTTTTTTCATGGAGCCTGTAGCTCACTTAATTTGGTCAATTCAAACTTGGTTTCACAGAAACAAGCCGCAAACGAAATGTTAACAAACTTCATGAGCCAAACGCAAAGACATTTTCAACTGTAAATGTTAATCGAACCCTTCACAGAAAATAAGGGATTTTATGAATGCTGTCTGCTAATAATTGGCTAATCATATAACCCAAACTAGCCTTTCACTAGTTTGTTTATTTAGCAGACTTTATGCCTCAGTGTCCTTAATCGATTCAGAAAGGCAAAGAATTTATGTCTCAGTAAATTTATGGAACTGGCTCAGGTACTTAACTAGCATAAAGAGAATATGACCCCATGAAAATAAAACATGCTGTTGTCATCAGTAAAACAAGTTTACTGGAGCAGTTTTCAGGGCTACCATACATAAAAATGGGTACCATGGGTGGAGTGACTACAGGAAGCTTTTTCAAAGAAGAACTATGCTTTAAATGATTCTTTGAATTAAAAAGAGGAAAGAGGGATTTCTTGATGCTTGGATTCTCCCCGTTGGTGGAATCTGTCTGCAATATAAGATACAAATAAACTATTTGCCAAAAAAGGTGCTTTTACTGAAACTACTAGCTCTTGGCAGCCCTCAAATTGTTAAATATTAATAGTCACTAAAAGAATCTCTGTGCTGCATACATCTAGAGAGGTTCTGTGTCATTTCTCACCTGGAAATGAAGATGTCAATAAGGTAAGTTCAAGATAAGCAAAAATTTCTTCTAAGCATATAGTATATAGTCATGGTCAATGCCTGCTGTAGTAGGAATGCCTGGATACCTACAGACATCCATTTATATCAAGCTTTTAAAACGTTTAAGAATTTATTATCAGAAATGATTCTTATAAAAGAATTATGAATTCACTTTGTTTATTCCCCCATTACAGCAGCTAAATATTAGCTACACAAGACTAATAGATAGTTTCTAATGCAACTGTTTGTTTTCTATCAAAAATGATAGAAATATGAACTCCTGATAAAACTCAGTCTTTCCCTAATTGTTAGAAGAGGACTTCAGCAACTAAAAAATCTACCACGTAGATTGCCTGTTAGAAAAATAAGGACACCACAAATCTTTTTGAACATGGCCAACTGTTCAGCCAGAAAACATCACTTTGGAAAGACCTTCCATGTTGTGGGACACTAATGTTGAGTAAGAAACCTTGTCCTACAATGTTAGAAACATTTACTCCATGGAAAATATCTGGCACAAATTCAGAATACTGGCTTTCAAGTGAAGAAACATAAAGTTCCATCTTTAAAATTGAAGCATCTTGCAAGTCGAGATACTAAGCAGGATACAATTACCAAGTTGGCAAATTCACCATATGCTCTGAGGGCTTATGTAACTATCTGGATAGGAAACTGAAGCCAGATTTCCCAAGGCAGACTCCAGATTTACTTGAATCAAATAAAGCAGGCACCTTTACAATACGGAATCTGTTTTCTGGTTGCTTTTCCCCGTTTAGATATCTCAATTGTCAAAGCACTAGAATGGAGATAAAGGTATTTAAACCTTCTTTCACACGTTAACAAAAACATTCCCGTTAAATATTTCCTGATTTTTCTGGTCTACTGATGGAGCAGAGTTAAACTGGCCTTGCTAAAGAGGCCAGAAGAGAGCTCCCAGAGACCTCTGAAGAGATGGCTTGGCAAGGACTGCACCTGAGCCTGGGATCCAACAGAGCCCAGCTTTATCCTCCCATTTGACTGTGACTTTAGACACATCACAACCTGCCTGGGCTCATTTCCTGTACTAGAAAAATAAAGGTGTTCAACTAGATTTAGGACCCACTTCAACTTTAAAATGTCATACTTCTCTATGTGCACTGGGTATCAGATTTTCATTTCCTTAGATTTTATGTGAAAGCTAGCATGTCTTACTTTCAGAGAATGATTTAGAGTCCTTTCGCTGAATTCTAGAAACTAAAAACAAATTAACTATACTTGATGCTGATTCAAAAAAGGTGGAATTGACCCAATGCCAGACTTAAGAGCTTGAGATCTCACAGACTATACAGTGCTCTTTGGAAATCTGATTCTATATTTTAAAACTCTTAAAACTTTCTTTCTTCTTTTAATTAAATCATGCAGAGGTATAAAATACTTTGGTTTGGAAGGCTTACAGCATTATGGGCTGTCGAAAGACATTTTGCAGTTACTTTAAATATCTAATAAAAATAAATGGAGAGGATGTTAGAGAATAGTAATTTCCCTATTTATCCCAACCTATACCATTTAAATATAAAAAATGTGAACTAAATCGTAAACAAAAATGTCAATCTACACACACACACACACACACACACACACACACACACACTCTCAAGCCAAGTGACAGGGGCTGAGGCAGACAGACATTATAAAATACGTCCAACTTGATCCCTATTATTTATTTTTAACACTTCATCATTGCGTAATATCCACAGATCTCTGATTAAAAAAAAAAACACCTTGAAATATAAGTAACGGTGGTAAAGAAGAGGTAGCCAACGTTTAATGTTTACAATAGATAGGCATGTTCTATAGACAGTAATAAAAGGATTTTTAAAAGCACTTTAAATACTTTAAGCATTCCAGTTTTAGTAATCATGTAGTAACATTTTACTGAATGGCATTTTAATTTGGCATTCCAATTAAATTAGCTTTAGTTAGAGATATAGGTAAATCCCTCTAATGCACATTTCAATAATTATGCAACCACTAAAATGAAGATAATAAAATCTGTATAGCCATACATGTATATGTACGTACTTACTTATATATGTACATACATACCTTAGATACGTATATATAAATTATATGTATAATACAGATGAATATACTGTTAAAAGCCAGAATATAAAATTTTGTTAGAATGATCACTATTCTCTAAAACAAATTTCAAATGTGTGCATACACCCACTCATCTTTATTCCACAAACATATACATTAGCTAAAGAGCTAGGGGGAAATACATCCAAACCCTAATACCTGACTTATGAACATCTGAGCTGCAAACACTCACACGTATACTAAGTAAGACTCACTTTGCTAGTTTACAAATGAATCTGGCTTATGAACAATTCTCCCAGAATGGAACTCCTTCTTAAGTTGGGGACTTAGTATACCAGTTGTGGGAGGGTGATAGGAGTAAAAGCAATCTTTTTGTTTTCCATGACTTTTTTGGTAATGAAGTCATATTCACTGTATGATGAAATACACACACTTACCAGGCAAGTAAATAAAAGGGTCTAGAAAGGTAATATAGAAAAATCTTTGTTAATATTTCTAGAACATCTTTGAGACAAAAATCCTTGCTTGGGGTTATATACTTTGCTTCAATCACTTATCTCATCTTTACTTACTGTGGAGTCATAATCCTATAATTTTCATAATAGAAAGGACCTCAGAAACACTAGTCTAATCCATTCATTTTACAGATGAAATCAGTGAAGTCTCTCTATACAGGGCACTTTCTTTTTCAAATAAATGAGAGTATAGCATGTATACAGTAAAATTAGAAACAAAACCATTTAGAACAACTAACTCGACCTCATCTAGTCTTGAAGGTGTCATGAAGCAAAGGGGGAAACAGGTGTCACTTGGGCAAGGAAGTGAGGATCCTGCAGGCCTAGCTCTGTTTTCTTGCATGGCTAGCCAGCAGGATCTTTGCCTGGATGGGTCAGTGAAGTGAGGCGCTCAGTCCCGTGCAGGCAGCCCTTTGTTTAGGCCAAAGGCTCCCCAGAGCCTAGGTACACTCTATCTGACAGCACAGTCTCAGGAGAAGCATGCTTTCCTACTGAAACAAGCCCTGGAATGTCATGTTATCTTCTCTCTGTGACTTTATGGCCCAGAAATGTACCTGTCAACCTGGACAGCCTACAATCAGTCAGGGGAGGATAAGAAATGATGGTTATTTATGAATTTCAAGATTTAAATATAAACCAAAACCATTTCCTAAGTTTTCACATATCTTTATGCCCCTAGGGAGAAACAAATCCTGCATCTTCACAGTTTTTATAGGAATATAAATCCACTTGGATAAGAAATTTATTGAGAGAGGCTTAGTGTTCTCTCTCATCCAAATTAAATTTCTACTCCTGGAGATTCTGCTGAATCTAGAAAGCTCTGTGAGAGGAAAGTTGTACAGAATTTCCGAAAGAGACATCTACAGTGTATGCATTCAAGTCTCAATAAGAAATTAACTTTGATTGCCACATACAGAGTATAAAGTAACCACAGAACAAAGCAGAAACCTATGCTGTTATATACGGAAATTGGCTATCTACTTACTGTTTGAGATTTCTTCTTTTTCTTTTTCATTGACCTGAAAAAACCTTGTTTCTCCTTTTCCTTGAGTTGATCAGAATGACTAATATTTTCAGGACTTTTCCTAAAGGAGAAGACATTTTTATCATATTGATCTTTCAATCATTCTCTTACCATTGTGTAACAAATATAATGAAGACTGAAAATGCATGACATCATGTTCACATAGCCAGGAAGAACTGACCACTTAGGAAAAGGTCCTCTCAAAAAGCAAGGCAGGAACTGAATAAAATCAAACATGGTTAATGGTTACCCTTTGGCACAGACTCACTCAGGCTAGCAATTTGAGCACTATTACAAATGGTCTGTAACTATGCTGCAGGACCATTTTCATGTTGCTGAAAGCTTCAGAATTAGAGATTTTGAAAAGTTTAAGGCTTAAATTTAAAAGGCCTTTTCTGTAATCCTCCAAGGTAAAGGGCAGGGACATTATTAATGTCGTCATTTTTCTATTTATCTTTTTAAAAACAGCTCAACAAGCTTATTAGTAGTACCTTGCCAAGATACTGAACATAAAAATCAATGTTATTACAGAATCATTATAAATAGATAAAAATTGCCCAAACCTGGATAATTCCTATTAAAATGAAATAAAAATAATTAAGAAAAATCAGACAGGATGAATGCTTTAAAACAAAGTATATACAAAGAAAAAACCCTTCCAACTGAAAATACTGACATTAAGCTTAATACCTCAGGTACCACTAGGTATTTTATAAAAGTAGAAGGTAGCAAAAGACAGCAAACATCTTTGCTTTAACAAATATGCCAGGCTGAGGATATAGCTCAGTGGCACAGTACCTGCCTAACAAGTGCTAAGCCCCTTGAGTTCAATTCCCAGCACCACACACAAAGAAATCTATATTGTGAAAGAGGACCTATACTCTTAAGCAACAACAAAAAAGCCTCAGTGATGTTATTCTTGAAACTTTCCCATTCCATGGACTCTAAATTTCAATAACTATATGACGGTGGAAAGCCATTTACTCAAATAACTGTATCTCTTCTATAACCAATTCCATAAAATCGAGTGGTAGAGTCATTAAAAGTGACAGAGTTAAAGTGATGGTTTTAGAATACCTAACGATGAAGCAATTAGGACATCCAAGAAAACATGAGCAAACTGCATTTTGTCTTTATTTAAAGATGAAAAACATGTAAAAAAAACAATTACAGATCTGTGTGACACACAACTCCATGAAGCTATTAAAAATCACATCTTTAAAGAATTTTCACTAGGGCCTGGAGATGTGGTTCAGTGGTAGAGCTCTTGCCTTACATGCATAAGGCCCTGGGTTCAATCTCTGGCACTACTCCCTCACCAAAAAATTCACTAATAGAAAGGAATATTTCAACTATAGTATTAAGTAAACCCATAACTTTCTACATAGAATAAGCCCCACTATATGCAACAAGGGGTATGTATATATACATGCATTTTTTAAAGGCAGAAAGAAATTTAAAAGTTTTAATAAGTAATGGTAGTGGTATAGCCTTAGCTACTCAAAAGACCAAGGCAAGAGGATTGCTTTAGTTCATGAGTTTGGGACCAGCCAGGGAAAAATAATGAGACCTTGTCCCAGAAACAAAACAAAACAAAATACAACAGAACAACAAAATCTTAATAGCTATTAGCTTAAAGAATTAATGATACACATTAATTTTTAATCTTCAATGGCAAATTTGTACTACAAATATAGTAACAAAGAGGTTTTACAAGCTATAGAAAATTAATTTAAAAACCAAGGACTGAAGATCAAAGACAGTAAGGGCAAGGGGGTTGCGGAGTAGAAAGCATGATTGAATATACGATGAGCAATTCTTCTTAACTATTTAGCCTAAAACTTGATGGGAAAGTCAGGGAAATGAAAACCTGTAGTGTGGGCCCAAAAGTTCTGGAAACTCATTAGGATCTGCAATTTTAAATGTCACTGAGGGAATTCTAAGTTCTGAAAGAAAAGTTTAGTAGTTTAACAAGCCAGAACATAATAGGTATTAGAATTTAGAATGATAGACTTACAACTTTGAAAGCTAGAAAACTTCAGACTCAATGGAATGGGTGAGAACAGGTGGTACAAAGTTAAAGATTCTTCAGATGCAGTGTTGTACAGTTCTCCTGAATGCAGTGCTGGAGGGGGACTGGCGTGATTGTAAGAATGGTACTATTGGCAGGAGAGGAAAGGAAGGCCTGGGAACCAGCACTAGGAGGAAACAAATACTTGTCTGGGAAGAGGAGAGTCTGTACAGGATAAAACGGAGAATAAGATGAAAAAGTGAGAGCTTAAAGAAGGGAAGGGTAATTAGAGAGGAAGACAAATGGGCAAAACAGCCCAAAGTTTAAAGTTTGGTGTTATAGAGTTGGGTCCGCAAAACAAAAGGAAGATGGATCAAAGACCCTCAGCTCCATTTCCTCAGAGTCCCTGGAAAAACTACAGTCCAGGTGGGGCAGGTGGAATGGTGAGGGAAACATTTTCAAACTGACACTGAGCAGGTGGTGGGGCTCAGATCTGGGTGGAGAATGATGCCAGGGGCCAGAAGAAAAAGGAAATAAATTACCCTTGAACTAGATGAAAGCTGGGAGTGAAGCCTAAGAATATCTGCATCACCACAGACAGAATGAACTTGGAGAGGAGAAAAGGAGAGGGGGAGAGGATTAAAAAAAAACCAAACAAAACAGGAAAAAGCTACACAAAAACACTGAAAGAATTAACAAGAGAAACCGGAGGAAGAAAAGCCTTAGAGACACCAAGAGAGCTAGAGGGATGAAGAGCAGCTGCCAGAACACAGGCTTTTGTAAGGGAACAAAGGAGGAGCCTTGCCCATAGCCAAGTGGCACAGGGCCAGTGGAGCAAGAGTGTGGACTGTCATTTCCTGGCTCTGTGCATAATGGTCCCTGCACTTCCACCAGGCAAAATCTGCAGCTCTGTGCTAAGCGCAGCAAAGGGGAACAGTGTGGAAGGAAAAGCAGGGGCTCACATATATCTCAGGGATGGAAGCCTTGCAAGGGACCATTCATCCAGTCACCTGGTGCATTACCTAGGGCCACACCTCTGACCAGAACTGTGATGGAGTGGGGGGTGCCGGTGGAGAGGACAAAGGGTAACCAGACACCTTCCTGTATAGCACAGTCATGTGATTCTAATGCCATCTAACACAACAGTTGGCTCCTTTAAGCAGTCACAGGAAAAAGAATGCCAAAGACTCAAGGAAGGAACACGCAAACCAACTTCAATTAAGTCAATCAGCATTTACTGAGTATTTTATACATGCTTGCTCCTGTGTCACGTGTTAAGAGATAACATACAGACAAATCAAAGAAGGAGCTTTACCTCTCTTGAGCTGCTCCCAGACTCACGGAGTGGGTGCAGGGAAAGGGAGGATGCCAGGCAGCAGGGCCAGCCTTGCTGGCCTTGGTATGCCCCAACTAGGAGCATCAGGAAGGTGAGTGTAAGAGGTGAGGCAGCCTTCCCTGCTCCTCTCTTCCCCTAACAGTGCGACTAGGCGGCCAGCATGTGTGAGAAGAGAAAGTCAGTGAATGATTCCACAGAAGCAATTCTGTGAGACAGGGTGGCAAGATATCGTGGGTATGATATGGTCATAATTTTACAAGAAGAAAGACACTTGGATTATTTAAATGAGCTACAGCAGTTCTTAAGTAATGGCATTTCAAGTTAACTTAGTTTACCATTTATGTGTCAAGTTTTAACTCAGTTTTGAGGGCTGTCATTCTAAACATGTTTATACACTGTTTTTTTCAATATTTTATTGATAAACAGCAATGAGACAGTTTCAAATCAAATCGGAAGTACAGTTTCACCAAATAACACACTGCATACATTCTTCTTAGTGGTTAATTGCTGTACAAGATGCGGACTTGAGATCCTATTTACAAACACCATTAGAACAAATCACTATTCATTAAGAGAATGCAACTATATATCTATCCTAACCACTTTGAATACACAGATACAAAATGGACATTCATCGGTATACCCCATTTTTTCTAAGTTCCGTTATTGAATATTATAGGTGTGTAAACTCAGCAAAATATTCTAAAAGTATACATTGTTTTTTAAGCAAAATAAATATCATTTGTTTTATAAACATACTCTAAATGGTTATCTGCGATGTGCATGATTTTCCCACTGGGGGCTTGAGAAAAGGCAAAAACAGCTGCTTTTCTCCACAGCTAGTGCTCATGACCCTGCAGACCTCAGCACCAACTGATAGAGCCAGGCATGAAAGAAGAATAAACAGGCTCTCAGTGAGGATGGAGGTGTCATCCTACTGGTAAAGATGATGAATCTGGGTACATTAACTCCATTTGTCTTCTGAGATATTCTGACTTATCTCCCAGTTCTTAAAGTGGGTATGAGATACTGGTAACTGAGATGGCCAGCATGATAATTCTGGGTATTGTACTACCATATCTATCGAGTGATTTTTCTTTTCTTTTTTTTCAAGAATATATCACTTGCTTATTTTTTATTTTTTTTTCATAGTTTTATTGAGAGACAAATAGCAATGAGACAGTTTCAAATCAAACTGGTATGAGAGTTTAAATAATTAACACACTGCATATCCTCTTCCTAGTGGTTATTTGCTGTGCAAGATGCGGACATGATATCCTATTTACAAACACTATTGCAACAAATCCTTCTATTCATCAAGAGAATGGAACTATATATCTATCCTAACCATTTTGAATACACAGATACAAAATGGACGTTCATCTGTATCCCTTTTTTGTTTAGTTATGTCATTTGAATATTATAGGTGTGTTAACTCAGCAAAATATTCTAAAAGAGTCCAATAGTCCATAATAGTATTGGGTCTTCCTCTTGACTGGCAGTGTCAGAAATTGTTGACCTGAGTCCCCTACAGCTCAACATAACACCATGGCTTTACCTCTTATACTTCGTTTGTATACTTTTCTGCTGGATGGTTAAGACCAACATAAAGCAAGACATATGCAACAAGAGTTGTAGCTTTTGGATCTGATAATTAGAGAAAAAAGAGGGCCGCAAGGAAAGCCAACATTTTGGCCATAACTTTCCAATGTCAATTAAGACTCAGGACATATGAGAACTTGTACTATAATGTCATGTAACTCAGTAGTGTCCCAAATTTTCTGATCAAGGAGATTATGGGGCCAAAGAGGAAAGTGATCGATGATGTAGAGTGTGCCTAAGGAGAGTCACATGGAGAGAAAACATTCTCTCAGGCTTTCACAGAGAGCACATTGACCAAGCAATGGCTGTGACTCATCCACATGGCTGACACTGACAAAGGTTCTACAATCTGAGGTACAGGATCTCAGGAAAAATGCTGAGGGAATCCAATGATTTTTCTATTGCAAGAAATGTGTATTTGTACACTGTTAATATGTAATGTGACTATATGACATATTAACATATGTATACTGTCAATATATAATAAATATACACTGTACAAATATACTCTTCCCTAAATAAATTTAATGTACTATTACAGAGATATAGACTGTTCTTAGGTTGTATGATAATTTAGGACTAATGTAAAGACTGGTGTTTTTGTAAGCTGTCAAATGTGTGTATCTTAAATATAAGGAATATGGTGAGTCAAACTGAGATCTTGTTTAAGATTGATGTTCCAGTACCTGAACATTGTTGAAAGCTAGAGTTAGAAGTGATGCATTGAGGAGATGCATCATGACAGCATCAGGAGGGTGGGGGAGCAAAAGAAGAGAGCCAGTTCACCCCTTGCTTGCATTCTGGATCTGTCTCAGGCCTTACAACAGCATTATCAACCCAAGGATGACACAGTCAAGACTCTGAAGTTCAGCATCCCAATCATCTCTCTGATTCTCTTTAAAAGAACTGATTTCAAGTTTCTACAAATATCCATGTCTGAAGTTCTACTCAAACAGATTATCAAAAAGACGAGAACAGGGAAGTAGGTCTATTGCCCAGTGATAATATAGTGTGTAGTAGGTGAGGCTCTGGATGCAATTCCCAGCACCAAACAAAAGAAACCCTTAAATAAAGACAAGAAATACAATTACAGTACTGCCTATCCCACCTTTAGATTTAATTTTGACCTGACCTAATTTTCATAGGACTGAGGTAATCTGTAAGTGATGCTCTTTTAAATCATCACCACTTAATTATGAAATAACCAAGAGAAAATCAATTCCTTCTGTACTTCTAAAGCAGATCCCTTTACATAATAGAAAAAAAAAACAGCCACAAGGAGGAAGAAACCACAAGTTTACCAGCAAGTTAGGTAAAAGGGAAATACCTACAAGTCATAGTGACATTGAAGATAACAACTACAGCCACTCACATCAATAAGCCCTCACACTGTCCCAGTTGCCTTATGTATTATCTCATTTAATTATTACATAAACCTGGTGAGGGATGTGCTATGTTTTTTCCCCAGTACTAGCAATCAATACCTGTGAATGCTGAACATGTACTCTTCTACTAAGCTACATCCATGGCTCTGAAACATTGAGGAAAATGAAGGACAAATAAAGTCATATAGCTAGAGGTAAGTCATCATCAATCCTGATATCCTATTTTGAATCCAAACTCTTCATCACTAATGTTCAGAATCTTATTTTATAAATAAGATAGGAATATGAAGTATGCTTATATAGAAAAAGGGTATTTACAGTTTTCAAAAAATCTATGCATTTAGATTTTGAGACAGGGTCTCACTATATAGTTTAAGCTGGCCTTATGTAGCCCAGGATGGCCTCAGACTTACAGTGATCCTCTTGCTTTAGCCTCCCAAGTGCTGGGATTATAGAAGTGTGCCACCATGCCTGCCCCATTTTTTAAAAAAAATAATTAAATGGCTGATCAGATAGCTCAGTGGACTAAAGTGCCTGCTTAGGCAGAGCACAGAGGCCTGGGTTAGATCCCTGTCATGCCTTGCTGGCCCTGCCTGTGGGGTGCACTGAGAGGACAATTGAGACTGGGTATGGTGGCATGTGCCTGTAATCCCAGTGCTTGGGAGGCTGAAAACAGAAAAATCACTATAAATCCAACCTACATAGTGTAGACCTTATAAGACACTGTACTAAATACATAAAAAAAGAGTAATTAAAGCTGGGTATGATGGTACACATCTGTAATCTCAGCGCTCATGAGGTTGAGGCAGGAGGATTGCAAGTTCAAGGCCAGCGTGGGTGACTCAATGAGAACCTATCTCAAAATAAAAAAGCTGGGAATATGGTTCAGTGGTAGTGTACCTCGGTGTTTGATCTCTAGTAACATAATAATAATAAAAACCTTGATATAGTCCTAACAGTAGGGCCCAAAATGTGAAGACACCTACTGTTAGAAGTACTGACACAAACCCTCCAGGCTACATCGAGCAATAAACAGCAGAGATGGAATCTTTGTCTGATGGTCCCCATTTCATTCTCTTGGTGGAGAAGTTAGTAAGGTTCTATGAAGTACATGTAATCAATCACCCCTCATATCTAGAATCTGGGCAGTCTGTCTGAGAAGCTAAGAATAAAAAGTCTACATTATTACTGTTTTTTTTTTTAAAGTCCTTACTCCTCAGATCAATTTGCTAATGGAAATTAATATATGTTGTAATTCTTTCACTGAATGTGTATTATACATGACACATAAAGGTAAAAGAATAAGGAAACTTACTATGCCATTTAAACCTCTATTATTTTGCTTTTATGGTAGCATGAATGGCTGTTTTCTTCTTTCTGTCTTTCTCCATGAATGAAAAGCCAAGCAGCACCGACATAAACCCTACAAGTTTGGAGTAAGGACCCACTGAGGTCTGAATCCTGGTTCTCTCCTTCGTGTGAGTGGATGTCCAATGGCAGGCAAGTTTCTTTACTTCCAAGATTCAGTTTCTATACAACAGGAGTAACCCCTACCTTAAAGAGTGAGTCTGAGAAGTGACTCAGCAAAGTGTGGGGTTCAATGTCAATAAACACAGACTGAAGATACCATCATTCCTGTCATGAAAAATTCAACAGAAGACTCACCAGGTATCTATTAATCCAGGAAAGTCCTTTTCCAAGATATTTATTATAACTTGAATCTGAACTCATGAAATCTCCAATTAGAAAAAATGGTACAAATATAACACTCACCATGGATCAAATGCTGGCTGTCTCTTTGAATGATTGGTTCCAGAACTGCTCTCAGATGGTAGGGAAGAAACTCTAGTTGATACATTATTTTCATGAAAAGAATTGTCTGGTCTTGGAGATGGCACTGAATGAAAAAAAAGTAAGTTACTGAACTAATGTTTCTCTTTTGGTCAAATCAGTTATTCTATTGTCTTTTCTTTCTTTTTCTTTTTGTGGTGCTAGAGATTGATTCCAAAACACTACCACGGAGCTACATTTTTTTTCCACTGAGAAAGACCTCACTAAGTTGCCCAGCATGGCCTCAAACTTTCGATCCTTCTGCTTTAGTCTCCTGAGTTGCTAGGATTATAAGTATGCATCACTCTGCCTGGCTACACTGCATTTTCTTGGACACAGATAAAAAAACAGGTAAGTGCAAATCCTTATCTATTTCTCACATAACTTCTGTGTTTTCTGAGGGTGGTGGCATTCTAGGGAACATTTTCTTTCCCTGTGCTTACGACATTAACCTGCAAGGGTCAGTTAATGACCCTCCATCTGTTAGCTGATGAACTAGATGGTGTAAAGTATTTTAAATTATGAGAGCCCTCCTCCTGCTGGTTTGACATTCTTTGAAGTTAAAGCGTTCTTATCACAGACCTAGCTATGCAAAATTTACTTAGTCTGAAGCAATTCTTAACAATATGCATGCGGAACACATTAACTACACTTTAAACCAACTACCATTTAAACCTTGGAAGGAAATGTCCCTCGTGCATTTTAAAGTAAATTACAAAGAAATTCAGTAATTCACAAAAAAATTAGTTTTCTTTACATTATCATTTCAAGAATGAACACAAAAATAAACTATAATGTAGGAGAATAAAATGCTTTTCTGCTTGGGGGACAGAGTGGTGACTAAATATTTCCATTAATTTCAAAGCTTGTTTACAAATTAAAATACACTGTAAATTTTATTGCAAAGGTAGTATCAAGCCAGGCATGGTGGTGCATGCCTGTAATCCGAACACTCTGGGAGGCTGAGGAAGAAGGATCACAGGTTTGTGTCTAACATGGGCAATTTAAGAGACTAATCAAGACCCTGTCTCAAATTAAAAAGCTGGGGAATGTAACTCAGTGTGAAGACCGTGGTACTGAGGGAAAGTAAGTGATATACAGGCTGCATATCAAGATAAATGACTCCATTTAAGTTGACTCTTGATAACAAAAATGAAAGCTGGAAGTATTCTGAAAACAGCTGTCATTTCTATGACACTACTCTCATCTTCCTCTAGGACTCAGTGGTATCACTGAAATGATAGATGTCTCCAGGTGTTTCATTTAGCTGAAGCTTTCTTTCTATTGCTGAATATTTTAAAATTAAAACGTTGTATTTGCCAAACCATAGATTATGAGGTAGATAAATGAAGTATTTCTGTTATTAACAGATTTGCAACCAAAATAAAATGGTGTTTCCAGAAATCAAAAACTAACCCATTAATTTAAAACTTCATCAACATTTTATATTAAAAGTATTTTCTCTAGACAACTACAGCAAAACAGTGCATGATACATTTTGGAAGTGAAACTTTCATTGATAGAAGAAAGTGTTTTCCCCATCTACACTATAACACTTCGTTTTAATTAGCTTTAGTTTGAATTAAAAGCTTAATCTTATAAGATTCTACAGTCATCATAGCATTAGGGGGCTATTAAAAGGTGTATTTAGTGCCTATCAATTTTTCCAAAGGTGGGACTGAGAACAGAGAAGCCCCATCATTCAATACACATTTACTTCTACATTACACTTGTATGCATTTGTTTAGCCCAGATCCTTAATTAAAATAACAAAAATAGTTCTGCATGCCCTCCCCAACCCCACAATTCCTGCTTCTCTCCAACTGAAACAGAAATAAATGTCAGGCAATGGCTGTGGTGACTGTTGAAGGCTTCGCAAGGCTGAGCCTCTTGCCGTGCAAGCTTTCTGTCTTCTTCTCCACTGAGAACTGACAGGTCCCTGAATTTTACAACCTATGATTCCATAGTTACTACCTAGACCAGGTCATCTTGTCAATATGGCTGAACTAAAAGACTCCTGAACATGTGATTGCTCAAGGAGGAAGCCCTATCCTCAGCAGAGGATGAACCCCTGATGGCAGAGGTCGATGTGCTATTGAGAATGGGGCCCAGTGGGAAGAGGTGGGTGAGCAGGGCACGCCTTTGGAGGGCATTCCTTCCTCTCCCTGGCACTCTTCTCTTGTGTTGTGCCTGCTGGTCACCATGAAGTGAGCAGCTCTTCTCACTATGCCTTTCCACCCTGATCTTCCTGACACGGAGCAGCTGACCATGGGCTTTGGAACCTCTGAAACCAGGAGCCAAAAATAAACCTCGCCTTTAATTTGCAGGTGTTGAGTATTTTTTCGAGGGGGGGCGCATCAGGAAGGAGACCAATACACCACCCAAAGAAATTACCTTTCTCTATCAATGTCTCCTACTTTTATATTGTCCCCAAAGCATTTTTTAGTCACCTGTTAAATATCAAAATACATAAGGCTGTGTAAACGCACTTTAATTTTCTGTATTCAGCCAATCAATATTTAGGAACCTACACCAGGCAGTGTGCTAGTCAAAAGAAAAAAGACAAAGCAAACTCAGAATCCAGAATCACTTTTCTTTTTCTGTGCTAAGGATTGAACCCATGCCCTAATGCATGGTAGGCAGGTTCTCTACTACTGAGGGACACAGCCCAAACCTAAAAACTCAGAGTCTTTGAAGGAATCAGAACCTTGTGAGAGAAACAGAGAACCAGTGAGATGTGGCCCACATTGTATCAGTGGCATATGCAAGGTATACAAGTGGAAGAGAGAAGGAAATACTCTTGAGTGGGCAGGGAAAATGTCACACTGGAGAGGACTATGAAGAAAAGGACAGAAAAAGCTGTGCCAACCAGGAAGAGGAATATATTTAAGACCAAAAGAGGACATGGTCTGTATAAGTCCTATTTGGGCACCAGAGAGACTTGGAAGGGAAGTGAGGGGCAGGGGTTTCCAGAGAAAATGACAAGGGTCAAACCATGGACAGTCTGAAATTCTATCTTAGAGAATTCTGATGTCTGATGCCCACAGGAAGCTGCCAAAGGTCTCTCCAGAGGTAAGAGCAGCTAGGGTCCTGGGAAGGGCAGCAGAGAGCAATGGGTGGCACTTTGTGAGCTGCATTTTCCACTCTGTAGCACTATTACCTTTGACTGCTGTATAAAAGAATACACCATTGACTGGCAATCTTTTCTTCTGAGAATGTGAGCTTTAAATGTTTAGCTGCCTTTTCCACTGACATGTTCTAACTAGATCAGTCTGGGCACACAGGTGACTTTGGTAACTATTTTTTGACTCAACTAAATGAATGAGTAGTATGGTCAGAAGGCAACTTTAGAAGGGACACTGTGGAGACTGCTCTGATGGGTACCTTGGAGACAAGGAGGCCAGTTACAAGGCTACTCAAGGAAGCCAAGAGGACCTGAAGGAAGATGATAGAACAAGGGGCACAGAGCACTGTTGGAGGGTACAGTGCAAGCAAAAACCTTGTGGGTCTGAAGTCATTCTAGTTGGTGAAAATGTAGTAGAGGGTACAGTCTGGAGATGTCCAAGGCAGAAAGGAGAGAAAGACGCTGGTCAATGCTGATGATGGCTTACCTCTGTAAAAGCTGCCAACTCTCCTTGGAACAGGGTCATTGTATAGGTGTCTGTTTTCTTTGGGTCCGGTGCCATCATCAGAGTGTGGGTCATGATATACTCCACCCTGAGGGAGGAAACAAGTTTATAGGAGTTATACCATGTCACTGTTGTCACAACAGTGTCTCCTACAAAGCCAGACCAGTGCATAGTCATTTATAATTATCTCACTGGACTTCTTTTCCACAAGGGAAACTACTTCAACCAGTTTAACTTATCTGTGGGAAATTGGGTACGAATAACGTTTAAAAGGAAAGCTTTAAATGTTGAAAGAACAATACTCATAGACCATTTTAGACTAAGATGTAAGGACTCTGAAGTATTCAGACCTCAGACTTCTGACGGGTATGGAATGAAGAGCTGCCTTCTCTGGAGGACTCTTTAACAGAAGGTCTTGCCACAGTCATCTCTGGAGGGAGCTGTTCTCCAGGCTGGAAGTCAAGTTGAAAAGCATTTATAAGAGCATCCTGTTCTTGGGGATGAACATCATCATGGTCTTTATTTAGTATAACTAGTACCTTAACCAGCTAAAATGAAAAACATTAGTTGGCTGAAACATAAATTGCCCCATAAAGGAGTGAATCATCTGATGAATGTAAAATTTATTAAGCAAATTTCAGCAAATGGAAAAAAACCCTGTCATTAAAGACAAGAACAAGTTACTGTGAAAATAGTTCAATTACTGAAAACAAAATTATTTTTCTAGTATAGTCATAGTTCTGAGCAACACTCTTTAGAAATTCTATTAGTCAATTCCAAATACCTCTAGAAGATTTTAGACTGAATTTTTCAAAAAGAAGCGAGCAGAACCATGACTGTCTTTCAGGAAGGGCTTTTGTGGCAGATTCAGATGAAAATCAATGTTCTCTGACTGCATCAAGGAATATAGTAAGTCCTCTTGATAATTCTTGTCTTAAAATTCCCTAGCTCCTATCATCTATGTGTTTATAATTTTTTGTTTCCAGAATAGCAACATCTCTTAGCCAGAGACACCAAAGTGCTCATCCCTGGAGATGCTGCCACTACCTAGCTCTCTCAGGAAACTAGGTTACAACCTCAGCACCGTGCTAGGTCCACAACAGTCCAAGAGGGCAAAAATGTAGCATTTTCTACCCTAGGGGAAAAAAAGATCAAGGAACACAATGACCAAGTCATCAGGAGTAATTAGTGCATTGTGTATCTGTACATTACACAAAGATTATTATCTCCATTTTATTTGAGATGATTCTTTTTCCTCCCTCAATCTCCAGTATATTTGGAGACTTCCAGGCAGGGATTCACCCAATGAAGCCTTTCCTTCTACTTTGTGACTCAAAGGTATCACTTGACTTCTGCCACCTGTACTGGCTGACAAGCGCCTCTAGAAACTTATTTTAGAAAACTATTTTTGCTTAACCTAAACTCAGAGTCCCTGTTCTTTTGAAGGTGGCCACAATACTTTGCATGAGTGTCATTCTTGTGATTCACTTCCAGCTTTTGTTACTTTTCAAGCTTTCTGCCATCTTTGTGCACTTGTGTACTTGCTTGCAGCTTGACACTACACTTTTTCCACTGGACTTCAGGAACACTTGGATCCGTGCTTAGCCCACAGTTAGTGCTTATAATTAATTAGCTTATGACCACCATGCTCACAAAAATCTCTTTTCTGAATTCTCAGAGGGCCAGTCATTTGTCTTTTTGAAAAGTGAAACCACATTTTGTTTTTCTTCTCTGACACTAAGCTTAGTATCAGCACTTTACTGGTTTTGACCTCCACACCCTGTTTATGAACAGCTGTGAAGTCCTAGAGATCTCTCTAGGCTCTTGAGGTTCTCTTCACTGTGTATTGACACCTCAAGGACTCTTCTGACCATTCCCATGACTCCACTATGCACTCTGGGTACCTCTTGTCCTCCACTCACCTGGGCACTGGACACTTTTCCAGCTTCTTAGAGAGCATACCCAGGGACTTGGGGACTGCCTCAGTACGCTGGTACCACCTCGAACTAGTTGAGTAAACTTGGGCAATTCATCCACTGTCTCTGAGCCCCTGAGCGGTTATCAGTGAATAAAAGGGGTTCAGTTATGGGGTTTCAAAAATCCCCTCTTCCATGAAGAGGAGCTCCTAAAGCAACACTGAGGTCTTCCTTTCCCCTATATTCAACACTGCAATTTGCAAGTCCTACTATTGCTTTTCTGAGTAGTCTTTAAGATCTAGCCCATTTTCTTAGGGCACTCACTTAATCCTGAACCCTCTCTTCTCACCTCATGTGAGGATTGCTACAAAAGCCACTTTATTTTTTTGGTACTAGGGATCGAACTCAGGACCTTGTGCTTGCCAGGCAGGCACTTATGCCACTGAGCTGTCTCCCTGGCCCACAAAATCAACTTTAATTCTTACATTTTCCACTCCACCAACATGGAAGTAGTTACAATACCTGAACCACATCATGCTGTGTCATATCTCTGTACTCTCCTTCTCCTTGGGATGTTCTTCTCTTCCCTTTTTTCTAGTCTCTTTCCTGCTGCTGCTGCTTTCCTCTCCTCATGAAACCTTACACCTCCTGGAAGTCTCTGCCCAGAAGCCCCCTCCTCTGGGAACTGGCTACAGTGCCTAGCCTTGACTGCCACACTGCTCCCACTCCCTCTGGCACACATGCACACTCCTGACAAAGCAGCTGGAACGTGGTCTCATGGCATCAGAATGACCACTGCTGGCAAGTGTCCCCGGCCAGCCCAAGCCCAAGAGAACGGCGACCCTGCTGTTCTCATCTTTCATAGCACCTCACTCAGGACATACCAAATACATCTTCAATCCTCGGCTATGTAGGCCTGCCTCCACTTGCCACCCCCCTCAAGATCTTTGGCTGCCCCAAAGCCACTGCCAATGGCTGCTGCTCACAATCTTTTCCAGTTCGCCATTCCTATTTATAGTCAGTGCCATAGGAATGTAGGCCTTAGTTATTTCACTATCATCATGTATAATTTAAACTTCCCCAAGAGAAGCTAAGTTTCTCAAGGGCAAGAGCTCCATCTCAGGGCTTTCTGGAGTACCTGATAGCACTTATCAGAGGAAAAGTGTTCACTGTCTAAATCACAGCACTGAGCACCACCGGGGTAGATGCGATGACTACAGTTTGCTAGACACTTCCTTTGGGCCAAGCATTGGCTACTGTGCACTTTGGACAAGAAATCATGATGATATGACTTAAAATGTATTCTACAATAAGAATGTTACTTCTTTTAAGTATATTATTCCCAGTTCTAGAGCCAAACAATCAATAAGATAGAGAAGGCATTATGTGAAAACACTGCCTTAAGATTTAAAACACTGTGAAAAACAGAAAGTTAACATTTATCTTGGACTGAAGTTAAATTTATTTGTAGTTCTGGACATATTAAACACTTTTAAATTTAGTTGAGATACTGGGGAAAGTATTAGGAAAAAAAGCTTGATTTAAGCAAATGTGGTTTGGAGAGATTAGAGACAATACCCATGAATTTAACTGAATTTTGAAAAATCTATAACCCATGTAGATGATTAATTCTATAACAAATCAAAATATCCAGAAAGGAACATGTAAGAAACAGACTACAAAAAACAAACTCTAGAGTTGTTCTGAGTACTCAATAATTGATTGAAAGTGTGGCCTTTTGTAGTTGGGAAAATTGCAGACTGAACATACAAATGCACCCCATGCACTACCTTCCCACGAGGAGCCACCAGATAGGGTCAGGGTGCTAAGCTGTACCTGGGGTGACAGGAGCTGCAAGCTGTTGGCTCTGGCCGCCATCCCTTGTCCTATACTCAGGCTTCCGTCCAAGCCTTTGGCTCGCACTTTGTCCCGGGTCACATACATGGAATGCCTGTGAGGACGCTGCTGAGAGGAGAAGGGGCTGGTGTAGCCCAGCCCATAGGAGAAAGATTCGTGGGGTGCAGATAGTGAGTGGGAATGGCTATTGTCCATGTGTTCAGGCAGCTTCAACTCCTCCATGGTTTTTGAATGCCTGGTTATAGTTCGGCGTGAGTCCAATGTGCCCTCATTTCGGTTATTTCTCCCTGAAGGGCTAAGTAAAGTTCTTGAGTCACTGTGCCTGGTGGGTGTTGGGCTAGTGGGAGAATTCAAGTCCAAACAGCTGGATGGAAAATACCTACTAGTATTAGTCTCTGTAATTTGGGCCCTGGCTTCGGAAAGGTTGCTCACGGACTTGGAGTCACTCAATGCCCCGTGGCTTTTGGCCTTGGTCCGGTAGGAGGGACTCCTTGAGGACTGGGGAATGGTGTCAATATAGCTGTGCCGACTCTGCTTCTCACTGGGCTGCAGCGTCCCCGCTTTGCTCTGAGAGCTTTCCATGAATGAGTGCCGGTTCTGCTGAGATCGGGTGCTGGACTTCAGATACTTTGTGCCTGGGCCTTCTGAGGGTTTTGGGTCAATATTAAAGTCAAACTCTGTTTTGGATTTGGCTTCTTTTGGACTAAGAAGGTGTGGCATATTATTGTTGGTGAGATCTTTGCTGGCAGGGCCAGGCTGGGTGCTTGCTTGGTAGGTTTTGGTATGCATTGGACTAAGAGTAGCTCCAGCAAGGTTCCCATTCAAGAAGGTTTCGTTGGCAGGAAGGCCTTCTTCAGCCCGGGGCAGACCCACACTTAAGTTCTGAATGTCCTTGCTGTTAGATCGGTGGTGAGATTGTAAAGCAGCACCTTTGCTGGCTTGGTTTCTATGTTGAAAACAAAAGAAGCATATCAAATCCCCTCAGTAGCAGATATAAAGTATCATGTTAAACAAAAAAGGAAAGGAAAAAAGAACACATACTTAAATACCTCAATGACTAAAAACAATGAACTCTCTCAAACGTAGGCCAACCAGTACAAGTAACCTATCAATAAGAAGTAAGTTCATCAGACTAAGTCACTCCACCAGAAAGCACTAGTCCTAGTGAAATTATTTTGACATCCTCCCATGCTCAGCTAATGTGTTGTCAATAGTTTGTAACTGATAACCTGGTAAAACATGCTTTTGCTATGTTAGTACCTCTATGAGTATTTGTTACAGAATAACTGCCAAGAAGAGAGTTGAGGTACAGTCTCTTTAGAAAACAACTATTTTATGTGCTTGAATATCAGAAGACAACACTTAGACTTGCAGGTTATTGTGTTTTCCTTGAACTTTCCTTTTGTTTGTAAAACTCCTCACCTGCCTCAGAGATAACGGACTCACAGTACATATATACAGACACCAATCAATGCCTCTTTTTTCTAGCATGTATAGAGACTGAGAATTCTAGCAATGTACTCATTAAAAGGAAATGACACTCTAAAAAGGAATATAAACTGCCCAGTGAGGCTCCCTGGAAACCATGATGATTAATGTTCATGTTTTGGAGAAGTGGCAATTAAATGGGGGCTCTTCAGACATCTCTGTGTGCACTAAACAGGAATCCTATACTGGATCACAGGGATCTGAAAGTGTTAACTGCTTGCCAAAACACAATTTAGTCTCTTCTTCATTTCACACTTCATTATTCTGAACTGACTGAGCCCCTCTTTTAGGTCTCAAAGCTCCATTTTCTGCTTGGTTTAAAATGCAAACTATCAATCCAGAAGAAAATCTTGTCCTTTATCTGAAAGCTGAACCTGACTATGAAGCCAGGAGACATGGGAATCCAGGCAGATAGGGCACAGGCCCTAAAGAGTTAACTTAAAGTAAACTAAAAGTCAGGGCTTAAATAAATTAGCATACCAAAAAAGACTCACAGGGCCCAATAAAATCTAAGAGTCAGAAGAACAGGTCCTTAACTAAATGGGAGACCTTGGAGGAACTAAAATACAAATGAAACAGCTTGCTTTTCAGACCTCCTACAACCAGGAACTCGCTGCTTTCTGTCCTGTACAGGGGTCCCCAAAACCATATAAAAACCTAAACGTCTACACTGTCTGCCTCATGGGACAGTCCTCTCTGACTAGCGGGTAAACACATTTGACCACTTTCCACTGCTTGCTGTTGGCCAAATCTATCCTGCCCCTAAACAAGAACCTGAGATTTGGTTACAACACCACCGCAAAATCAGTTTGTTCTATTGTAAGTATTTATGGGGCCAAATAGTGGTTTAGCACTTAGGGTGTTTCAAAAAAAATAATGATTTACACAGTTTTCTTTTTACTACACATTCAGGAAATGTTGTAAATACAACTCTTGCCAAAGATGGTACGATTTGGGAGAGTTTTGTTCCCACCACACATTAATTGGAAGAAAGGCCTATTTTTTCATGCAGAATGGTAACTGCTGAAACTATGCCTTCTCATTTCCCCTATAAGAATCTGTATGCTAAAGCATCACATATAAGGACCCTTTTCCTATTGTGTGTGTCCGATGATAATCTCTGCCAGAAATCTACCAGAGATCATCAAAAGACATGTGCTATTCAGCCAGCCTGTAACAGTATGGAAGGCTCCACCTCCTAAATGTACTCACTAATCTTTCCCAGTCAGGTCACAAGAACCACAGCATTAAATAAAGACACTTAAATTTGAGCTAACCAAATGTCAAATCCCAGACCTAGAAAGAAACTGCAAAGAAAGGAAAGTTAAGTTTCATTTTCTGTTAAACGATAGCCAAATCTATTCCCAGAAAAAAGGACAGTCCTTGTAACCTAAAAGCATCAGGTTTTAAACCATTAGAGTTGTTTGTCAACTTACATGTTGGTGACTAAAGTATCTCAGCAATTTCAAAAGCCCGTGAAACCATACCTTCTCATTTTCCCTTCATTAAAGGGTCATTTGCTACTGTATCTTTTAGATTAGAATCTCTGCTAGAAATCTGAGAGCATCAAGACACATGAACAAATATATCTACGTGTGTTGGTTATTCTCCATTTGCCCAGCTCCCAATCCATTCTCCAATCCTCTGGTCCTCGGCCTCAGGGCTCTAGTGCTGTGGACTGCACCCCCAGGTTCCCTAGTTTGCTAGCTTCTGGTAGGGCTCAGCTGGGGAAGGTATCATCACTCAAGAGAAAGAGGCTGGGGGAGGTCTTCCTATTCCTCGCTGGCATCAGCACCTCGACTCAGATCCTAGTCGTATCCCTCCAGATGTTACTTTCTATGCCCACCCAGCTCCAGCTCTGCTTCAGGTTCTCGGAATCTATTTCTTCCCTTTTTTCTTCAGGCCTACAGATAGCAATGGCAGAGAGATATAACATGTGCAGATATTGGAATCTATCTCAAGCTTAAAACAGGACCAGAAACGACAGAGAACAGCGGAGGCCGAGCTGCCAGAGCTTCTAGAACTGTTAAAATCACTGCTATCAGTGCTGAGCACAAACCTACACAGGAACTTATGCATATTCACAGCAATGAAGATACAATCTCTAACACAAAAGAGAGGCTATAAAGTTAGGGCAGAAACAGCTGTCAAAGCTTTAGATTTTCTATAGATGTACAAAGAGCCTAAACCACTATTCTGAATGTTTCTGCTAAGGATTAACTGGAAACCATTGAGGTTTGAACATACCATAATTCCTATGTAAAAAGGGCATCATATTACCTTCAAATTGGAGCTCTGCCAAAGAACAACAATAAAAAAGCTTTGAAAATTCCACAACTCTCTTTGATACACAATTATAAAGAATCTGTGTTAAACAGTCAACCACTTAAAGAGAAAGAGTTGACAGATAAACCATTCTTAAATGGCTAGCAGGATAAATGGATGCAAAGATGGTTAAAACATTTACTTAAAAATAAGTTTTAAAAGCAACTAGAAAAGACACAAATCTACATTTTTAGAAGGCTTGGGAGGCAGGTCTGGTGAGGGAAATGTGTGGGAGACAGTGTGAAGTACTATTGTGCCATGTCAGAGGTGAAAGGAACCTGAGCACAGCCTGAAGGAGACAGACAAGGGGCTGAGGAATGTCTGAGTCCACTGCCCCTGAGGAAAAAAGAATTTGGAAGACAGGGTATGTGAGTGTGAGTGTCTCCAGGGATAAGGCAGGGGTGCCTCAATGTGGAAAACAATGAACACAGTGCTATGAGCATGTCTAACAGTCCTGGAGGTCCAAGCCAGTGATCTGATCCATGCTGGAATTAGTGTCCCTAACAAGATTGTGGGATAAATACGAACCACTGAGAAGTGTGGAGACAAAGCTCTCAGACACATGTAACCACGTAGGACTTTTTCTTTAATATATTCAATACGATGTCAAGACCAAAAAATGAACTCATGCAGAGATTTTTATTTACTTATAATTTTCACTGTAATTTCCTTCAAAAGGGGATTTAGAAGGATTCATTAAAGAACTGTAAGTCATCTCCTTTGCACCTCCCACAAATACCTCATCTCATATCTTCCTTAACAGATTCCTCAACAGGATTCCCAAGGAGAACATGAGGTCCACTGGTTAACTATAAGGACTCTAATTGAGCTGCCACAGGACAAACAGTAAGGTCCCTGTTCATGGTAAAGGTTATATCACTAATGACTACAGCACAAATCACAAGTTATCATCAGTCAACCAGACTTTACATCATTGGGATAATTTCCTTTTTAAGTGTAAACTAGAGAGGCCAAGTGATGATTCAGGTAGAAAGGAGGGAAAAAGACCTGAGTGGAGAGCAACTCCAGAGAAGACACAAGAATAATGTAAACTTACAAAATGCAAAGGATTAACTAAACACTGACTTAATGTACTAAACTCCATACAAGAGGAAACAATAAATGAAACCACCATTTTAAAGAATAAACAGATCTGAAACAACCACAATTGCTGCTAAGCAAAGAGGATACATGGTTAGCATCAATTTATGGAGGTCCTCTCAGACCTAAGAAGAACCAGGTCTCGAACAACTGTACACAAAAATAAAATAAAACAAGAACAACTGTACAGCCAGGCTATGTTATGCTCTCCTGTACTCCCAGCTTCTCAGGAGGCTGAGGCAGGAAGATTGTAAGTTTGAGGCCAGCCTGGTAACATAGCAAGACACTTATCGCAAAATAAACATAAAAATAAATAAAATAAGATGAGAATATAGCTCAGTGTTAGAGCAACCCTGTGTTCAATCCCTAATGCTGCTAAAAGAAAATACAAAACAACAAAATAAAGCAAAACAAACAAAAACCCAGGGTTTTTTTGCATAGAGGAAAAATGGGTGGATTTAAATTTAAAAGCCTCATAGTAAGAATTATTGTTTTCTATTTCTCTTCTAATAGTAGATGACATAAACTATTTCTATTTCACAATTTGAAAATGTCAGAGGCTGAGACCAGCTTGTGGGAGATGAAGGAAGATAAGGCAGACTATGCCGAGGACACTGTCTTCTTGTAAAAGCAGTCAGCAGAACTGAAGAATGTCTGATTGCAAAGACAGCCTGACCAGTCCAATCTTGGGGCATGCTTGTGTGTAAAAATAGGTTTTTAAAAGGTTATATTAAAAAGCACCACATGACATCACTGATCTTAGTCTTTTTACATGCTTATTTTTATGAAAATTTCTTTCTCAACTCAACAATTAAAACAAGAACAACAGAAATCATAAGACTCTTCAAAAAGAGCCTGCCTACTTGGTTCACCTGCAAAGAGTACATTCCCACCCATGTGTCTGGCACCCTCTTCTCATTCGGAAACCCGCTGATCCTCATCTACATCATCATCGTCCCTGGGTGCCATTTACACACAGCCTCCCTGCTCCTAAGGCTGGAAACGTCCTGAGGTGCAAATTCAATGCTACCTTTCTGGGGACAACATAGGTTTCCATGATACACTTGTTAAAGGTAAGAAAGCCTTTAAGACCCACACAACTCTTTAATTATAGTTCTGAATCATGTAATAAGCATAAGGAAGATATTTTTGAATAAAGAGGGCTTTCCTTCTTTTCTCTAATTGCATAATTTTAGGAGCCACCTCCTCCACCTACATGTAAGGCCAACACTGCATCTGTATTTCCTTAAAAGGGAATATTTACCTATTAGACAATGTGCTGCTTTCCACATGATAAGGTTTCCTTTTTGCTGATCTTGAAGGGGACCGATCCAAAAGTCTCTGGGTTTGAAATGTCGGGTGGTTCAAACACTGTTCTGTCAAGTATCTGTCGGCTGGATCCAACTTCAGTAAATTCTTAGGAAATAAAATTTATGATATGAGGGGACATTAAAAACTCGAATTTAAATAAAAGCCTTTATTTTTCTTCTTTAACAGCAAATAAATGGTCATTGCAGAATATGTACCAAATACTGTTCAGAAAAAAAAAAAACAAACGACTATCTAAATCACCCATAATCTTACCATAACTGTTCTCTTGGTAGATATCCTCCCAGGCCTTTTTTGAGTATCATATATCTATTTTTTTCTTTTATCAAATCTGGGTCATATTATACATATAAGTTTAAATCCCACACTTTTCACCTATTAAATGAAAACTTTTTTATAACCTAATTTAAATATTTAAAAAACCTATGAGTATATATTCACATCCTTTTTCCCCTGTGTCTCAAATACCAGGTTCCTCTCTCGAGGCAGCCCAGGTGCCTGTCTCCTGTGTCATCTTCCATAGGTGTAGTCTGTATATTCTCTACATAGCTCTGCATCTGCCCATCCTGTTTTGTTTTTTTTTTAATCCAAAGAATAGCACACACACATATCTGTCTGCATTGAGCTTCCTTTCCATTTCACAGGGACACTTTTTTTTTTTTTTGTGGAACTGGTAATGGAACTCAGGCCCTTGCACTTGCCAGGCAAGTGCTTAGTCTACTGAACCATCTCCCCAGCCCCCTCACAGGGACACTTAAGAGACCATTTCATATCAATAAAGAGTGTCAATCCTACGGATGTACTTCAGTCAATTTTTAGCAATGTCTGAATTACATTCAGGGTTTTTTCCTTGCTAAACAATTTAGCAACCAATTATATATAATATATATGAATGTGTATGTATGTATGCATGCATACATGTATATTTTTAAATTTGGTGGTGCTGGGATCAAATCCAGGGGCTTGCATATGCCAGGCAAGGGCTCTGAACTACATCTCAGCCCTTATAACATGTTATTTTTTTCTTTTCCATTTAAAAAATTTTATTGGTACACTTTATGCACATAACGATAACACTCATCATAGAGAATTTGTACTTGAACATGATTTGCTTCTTTTTCTCCATTCCCCTCCCCTTTCAACTCCTCTTTCCCTCCTTACTTACAAAAGGTTTGTTTCCATTTTTTCCTTCTTTTCTCATTCTTTCTTTTCCTTTCCTTCCTTTTCTCCCCTCTACCCTCCCTTATTTGAACATTTTCTTCCCATTTCCCAGTATCTACTACACATTTTGATTCTTATTTACACTTTCAGTTTCTCAGGCCAGAGAATCAATGCATTCTTTGAACACATATCTGACCTACTGCATTTAAAAGAGTGTGGTCTCAAAAGCTACAACTCTTGTTGCATAGGTCCTGCTTTACCTTGGCCTTAACCATCCAGCAGAAAAGTATAAAAACGAAATATAAGAAGTAAAGCCATGCTGTTATGTTGAGCTGTAGGGGACTCAGGTCAACAATTTTTGACATTGCCTGTCAAGCGGAAGACCCAATACTATTATGGGCTAGTGGACTCTTTTAGAATATTTTGCTGAGTTCACACACCTATAATATTCAAATAACGGAACTTAACAAAAAAGGGGATACAGATGAATGCCCATTTTGTATCTGTGTATTCAAAGTGGTTAGGATAGATATATAGTTACATTCTCTTAATAAATAGAGGGATTTGTTCTAATGGTGTTTGTAAATAGGATCTCATGGCTGCATCTTGTACAGCAAATAACCACTAGGAAGAATGTATGCAATGTGTTAATTATTGAAACTGTCCTACCAATTTTATTTGAAACTGTCTCACTGCTATTTGTTTATCAAGAAAATTATGGAAAAAAAATAATTCCTAAAAAAATAAAATAATAACAAAAAAGAGTGTGGTCTCAATGTGTATCCATTTAGCTAGGAATGTCTCAAGCTTATCTTTCTTTGTGACAGAGTAGTACTCCACTGTATAAAAAACCCACATCTTAAATCTTGGAACTATCTCAGATATCAATCAACTGATGAATGGATTTGACATGCTTTTTAATGACTACATAGAAGTTTGTGGTACGGACATAAACAGTGATTTACTGAGCCAGCGTTCTATGGTTGGATGTAAGTGGCAGCCGCTTTTCGCTTTCAACGAATGTGGTAACAATGTGGTAAAATCACCTAACTGCTTTCATAGGATAAACTTCTAAACATGGAACATTTTGGTATGTACACTTTTAAGGATTCTCTTTTATGTATTGCCAAATAGCCAAACTACTCCCTAGAAAGGTTGTTTCCAATTATGCACCCCTTGGCATCCGTATGAATATGCCAATTCCTTGGCACCCTCATCAACAAGCACTGTCATTCTTTTTTTGTATTTGACTGCTAGTGATGTTGAATACTTTTACATTTATTAGTGACATAAGTGTTCTCATAGTTTTCTATTTATGTATCTATTCTTTTTTATTTGAAGGTGTCCTTTGTTCAATAACTCACCTAACCCTTTATGTTGCTGTTATGTTTTGTGTCTACTTGCCCCTCAAAGACACATGCAGGCATGGGGTGGGTTTCTAGAGTTTGTGATTAACTCATGATCCATTGGAACTATGGGTGTGAGTGATGCTGGGATTATGGGTGCGAGTGCTAATCCCAGCCTGGGGCAGATAGCCTGAATGCAATTTAAGGGAGACAGACTTGCTCTCTGGAGCCATTGTTACTGTTACCCTTCTCTTTTGCTCTTGCTGTTTTGCTGCCACACTCTGCCATGTGCCACACTGCCTTGGAGCCAGCTGAGCATGGACTGAAACCTCCAGTAACTGTGAGCTAAATAAACCTTTCTTTCCTTCACATTGAGTGTAAGGTATTTGTCCCAGCAATGAGAGAAAAGTAACTAAGACAGCTGCACACACAAAATTCTTTTCTTCCAATGTTATTTACCTTAGTAACTTGACAGGAGTTTTGAAGGTGAATCATTATTATTAAGACTAATTCTCATTTACAAATTAAGCAAATATCTAGTCAGGCATGGTGGTTCATGCCTACTGTAATTCCAGCACTCTAGAAGGCTGAGGCAGGAGGATGTCAAGTTTGTACATAGCCCAGGCAACTTAGGGACTCACAGAAGCCCTGTATCAAAATTAAAAAAAAGAAAACATGGTTGGGGACATGGCTCAGTGCCAAGCTCCTGGGTCCAATCCTCAGTGCCGAAAGAAAAAAAAATCCAGCAAATTTTCCAAAAAATATAACCTACGTGAGCACACTGAAATTTGCTCTGAGTGGCTGCCATTGTCTCTCACAGGAGGGAAGAAGAGTGAAATGCCAGCTTTCACTAGTACATTTCTACCTTGCTTTCTTCACTAGTTTTGCCCATAGTTAACTTCTTTGTGGCCAACTGTTAAAGCAAATTTGCTTTCTCCAAGCCAGGCTTCAATTTCAGACAACCACTTTCAATCTAGCACCATAGAAAATTTGAATTCTGGTCCTATCATATAATAAAATATTCATTTTAGGTCAAAAGATTCTGGTTATTGAAACTCAAGCTACTGATTACATGCAAGTGGATTTACATTTACATTAACTCACATACAACTCTGAAATTATCTCAATTCATTTTTCTTCCTTATTTCAGAACAAAAATGGTGTAAAATGATTTTGTTCACACTGGCAGCTTAACCAGACTACATCAACATTGTTTCAACTTTTTTTTTTTTTTTTTTTGGTACAGGATCTAGCTATACAGCTGAGATTCATAGTGATCCTCCTATCTCAGCCTCCCCATTGCTGGGATTACAGGCATGTGCCACCACACCCAGACTCAGTGGCCTGCACGATGCGCCCCGGGTTCCGAGGCAGGCACAACATGTGGTACCTGGAATCGAACCCCAGTCCTTGTGCTTGCCAGGCAGGCACTTAGACCACTAAGCTATCTCCCTACCCCATATTTCAACTAATAAGACAAAGGAAAACTGGCTATCTAAATTTGAAGTACCTATGAGGTTTCAGAAGCCAAACCTACCAGCATTAGCACTATTTTAATTTGAATTTTAAGTAGAAATTACTGTATTATGAAAATTACATGTACATTTACAAATATAGCTATTTTTTTTTCTTTTTGGACCTGAAATTGAACTCAGGACCTTGTGCTTGCCAGGAAGGCATTTGTGCCACTGAGCTATATCCCCGGCATAGTTATTAATTTTCAAATAACTTTAGAATATGAAGTCTTCATAAGGAAAGTATAAAATTTACCCAGCTAATAGTTTCTAAAGTTTGGCATTTTGAGGAAATGAAGTATCATCACCATTATATTTATTTGTTTACTAAAATAGACATTATTAATGTTTTTAGGTTTAAAATTATTAAACCTTGAATTCTGGTCACTTGTATCCCCACTAAAATGGCTAATAGGAATAGATGCAAAGTAAGATGGCCATTTTAGGTACTTATATGTGAACAAAATTATCAAGATAGCTTTAGGGAATGGAAACAAGAATAGTATTTCCTCATGAAAAGAAAACTGCTAGTTTTCATTTTTCAAATTCATTTTTACAAGTAGCCAAGAGCAAAAGCATTTAGTAAGGTAGTATCCCTTGCTGGTGAGACAAGTTCTTTACTGTGAGACAAGTCAGAAATTATAGTTTCTGTGAGAACAAAAGGAGAGGAATAGAAAGCCTGAGTGGGATCATAAAGAGGCTTCTGGGTATTAATAATTTCCTATATCCTGACCTAATTAAGGTTATAAGAATATTTTTACACTACAAAAATTAACTGAGATGCAGATTTTTTTTAATGTATTTGGTACAGGGTCCCACTATGCAGCTGGACTCTTGGTGATCCTCCTGTTTTCAGCCTCCCCAGTGCTGGGATTACAGGCATGTGCCACTATTCCCAGACTCAGTCTTGGATTAGAGTGCCCAGGGGGCGAGGCCAGCATGGCATGTGGTATTGGGGATCAAACCCTGTTTCCTGCGCTTGCCAAAGCAGGCGCTTAGTCTGCTGAGCTATCTTGCTGGCCCTTGAGATACAGATTTATAATTTGAGCATCTTCTAAATGTATGTTTCAGTAAAAATATTTATTTACTATTAAAAAGCCTTTTATGGTAAACATTATTAAATAAACATAAATTAGAAAGTTTAACATTCAAACTAATGCAAATACCCAAAGATTCAGGATACCATTCTTCTTTTGTCTGTGCTATCCTTTAATCAGTATTCACTTTTATTTAGGCACCAAACTGATCAGTAATTATACTTGGTAATGATTTAACATAAAAGTTTAATTATTTTTAACTAAACAAAGACAAAAGGCAGAAAACATGAAATGATATTTAATTCCATTTCCCTGTTTTATTTACATTTTAAAAGTTACAAAAAAGTTAAGAATCTGATTATTAAATATAGATTGTGTGGAAGAATATATTGATAAAACCCAACTAATTTTTTTTTCCGGAACTGGGGATTGAACTCAGGCCCTTGCGCTTGCCAGGGAAACACTTATTCTACTGAGCCATCTCGCCGGCTCAAAACCCAACTGATTTAAATGAAAATTTATGCCTAATTAAAGAAGCTGAGTTTTGAGATTGAAGTTTCCTTTTATTAAAGCCTACTTTTCAATCTGTACTCAGAACATTAGTACATCAGTTCTGTTTAAAAAATATTCAATGTTTAATAAAATTTGGGAAATGTTGAGTGAAATGGAATGGCTTCTTTACTGTGAGATTTCTGAAAGCTTTTATAGGTTAATGAATGTTATGACTTTCTACAGAAGGTTAGTACAGGTATGTGGCTTTTCCCCGATGCTGTACCCCCCGCTCCCACTTCTTCTCCCACACCTATTTACACTTACTTCCTTGGAACACAGATTATCATAGTTTAAAGCACAACGAAGTTCTCAGAATTCAGCTCAGCATTTCCAACTGTGCCAAGTGTATCTTTCAAAGCCTTGTGCACAGTGTAGCCTCTACTGATTCTGTTGACTGAATGGACAGAAAACAAAACCTATCTATTACCCAGTGCTGTTTGAAGGGCTACTATCAAACAACCAACATTTGCTTAGGTACTTAGTGGCTGCAGTGAAAACTGGGGAAATATGCAAAATGGTGCTCACTCATGGGTTTGAATGTCTGTCTACTAGGGAAGAAAAACTTAAAGAAATTTGAGGATATTTTCAATAGCACAGAGCAAGAGTTCTTCTGAATAGGGGGGCTAGCATGAGGAGGAACAGTCAGGCCACAGAGGTAGAAGTGATCCTAACATGTCTAAAAAGCCAGAAAGAGCAAGCTGCCTGGGAAAGAAGGTCAAATCAAAAAAGAGAAAAAAAATTGATTCACTGATTAATTTGATATAGCCTGTAAGAGCTCTTAAGTATTTTGTAGAAACTGTAGAACCATTTTCCCTTCAACAATCAAAATTTGTTTTATAAGCTATGTCTGAGCTCCTATTGAGTGTTAACAGATTTTTATTATCCTGCCCATTTTAGGAAAGTAATTTAGAGATCTCATGCCCCTGTCTAGATGAACTATGACACTTCCAGATCCTATGGTGATTTTAAGTAAGTTACATACCTTTTAATACAAGTTAATCTGCCATTGTGCACCATTATGTCTCTAAAAAATATTTAATTCAGAAACCCTGTCCCCCATTATTCACCACTATGTATCTATTAGTGAAGTATTTAATTAGCAAAAGTAGGCTATGATCACATATAGACAAAAGAAAATCCATAAACAAAAGGCTATTTGTTATACGAACATCAACTTCTCCTACCTTCATCAGGTCGAGTAAAACACTATTTAAAATTCCAAGGTATCTTCTCTCTAGTGACTGAGGATGGTTAACAGCTGGAAACTGTAAGAACAACACAATAGGAATGTTAGCATCTGAGGAAGATATTATATGTTGTATCTAGAGGTCTGCCCAAAGCCACATAAGGTCATAAATGGGAGTTTCACAGGTGGCTGGATTAGGATATGTGAATGTGGACTATGGGTGCCCCACCATGGGTACAGGTGACACCAATCCATAGCTTTGTAGCCTGGATGGAACATAAAGGGACTTGCTGCTGCTGCTTGCTGCTTCACTGTCTCTTTCCTGCTTTGACATGGACTATTTCTCCTCCACCATGCCACCCTTACTTGGAGTCACTGAACCATGGATTGAAACTTCTATAATTGCAAGCTAAAATAAACTTTTTCTTTATTAACTTGTGGGTGTTGGGTATTTTGTCTTAGTAATAAGAAGAGTGACTAGGATAGAAGGATGTATGTGCACAGGCTTCTGAGCAATGCAGAAGGGAGCAGTTAAGCAAAAGGTAATGTTCTAGTGCCAATCTAAGTCAAATTCATATTTGTAAGTTACTTTTTGTATTTACATATTTTAGGTATGAATTTGACTAGCTATTAAATAAATTTACTGGTGAAATATGATACTTAAATCTATTTAATACTAAAGCATGAAGAATAAAATACAAAGATCAGAAACTATTTACACAGGCTATAGAGTATTATCTTCTCAGTTTAGTTCCAAAACAATACAATTCTTAATTACTGACAATATTGGAGACCTAACACAAGGAACATGATATAATGTCACATAAGATTTTTATGTTCTTTTCACAGTAACATATTTACTCCTGAAAACAGAGAACAAAGGAGAAAAATGCAGCAAGAGGCCAGAACCTGTAAGACCACAGAAGTAGAACAAATCATTCATTCGTTCATTCGTTCACTCATTCATTTTTGAGACAGTGTCTCACTATATTGTTCAAGTTAGCCTAGAACCTGCTATGGAGCTGGCCTTGAACTTGCAAACCTTCTGCCTCAGCCTCCCAAGTCCTGAGATGACAGGTGTGTGCCTCCACACTCCCACTGTATTAGTGCTTCTAATATATACTTTCAATGATCTGTTTTTAAATCTTTCCTTTTTGAGTTGATTTTTAAAATCTGCTTATTCAGATCAACAAATACATGCTTTAAAAAATGAGGGGGAAGGGACAAGTTTGTTTAAATGTTCTATCCTTTCTTCTGCCAACTCACACTTGATCATATCTGAGTGGAGGATAAAGCATTAGGTAACATGACTGGCAGAGCCTGATGTCAATTGTGAGGGCTAGTTTCATTCATTCTAATACACATTTCCTCTATAACATCAGAAGAGCATTCTGAAGTACTGAAATCCTTAAATATACTCAATATGTAGATAAGAAGACTAATGATGTAGGTATCTGGGGAATTACAATGACATCAACCAAACACTGTGCTCGGTAGGGCACGAGATAAAGAATATGGGTAAGAGCCAAGCCTTGCACTTGAGGAATCCATTGTCTGGCAGGGGAAGCAATCACTGCCAAACTGAGTAGCCTACACCTTCTGATGGAACTCAGAAAAAGGAGAGAACAAGGCAGTTTGTGTGTATAGAAGGAAGGACTGGTAGAAATATTTGAATTAGTTTTTAAAAGCTAAGAAAAATATGACAATGGAGAAAAGTAGGACAGTACCTTCCAGAGGAAGAAGAACTAACGTGAGTGTAACACAGATGTACAGGCAAAAAGCTAAAACTGATTTCTTATATCAGGCATTTTAGGTATTATTAGCCCCTTACATTAGAGATGCAGGAAATGATGGTTAGAAAGTTCAAATAACTGATTAAAGCACAATTATATAATTAACAAGCAGTAGAACTTGTATTTGCACCTAGGTCTTTGATCTAAACCTATACTCTTTCCAAACTGAGGAACCTCTCCTAAGGAAGGTATGGAATTTCCTTTTGATGTCGCTGGAGTATTAAGTATCAGCCTAAAGAAAGAGAAACCTGCCATGCCATGATAAAAGACCCTACACCAGTACATTTTAATTAATATTTTGTGTTTGAGGTCTATCTTATGCTACCAGATACTGTCTCCTTTTATTATCCCAGAAATAACATTTCACTGATAAGAAAAAAAATTTTAAAGTCAAAAAGTATTCAAAATATTAGAATACAATAACAAGCAAACTGCTAACCTAAAAATTTACGTATATGCTTTTCAATGAAATCTACTATTCTAACATCAGATAATTAAGCAAATAGTCAAAATAAGCACATAAATTTAAGTCATATCCTAATCAGTAGTTTGTTTCCTTTCTTAATACTTGACTAATACAATAAAATAAGAGTATCTCTTTACCAAGCACTACTCTGAGCATTTTATACACATTTCCTTTTCACAACAACCTCATTAAGTGATACCTCTGTTATCAACATTTTACACATAAACAGAGGCACAGCTGGTAAAATAATTTCTTGAGGTCACTGAAGTAGTAAATGTGGAACCAGGCTCTGAACTCTACCAGTCTTTTTTCCCAAATACTGCACACAATTAGAGCAACTTCCAATGGATTTCTCAGTCTCTACATTAAAGAAAGAGATTTACCACATGAGGGGGGACCGTGCCAAGGAGGAACCTTTCCCTTAGGTTCCCTTAGGAAGAAGCCACAGTCCTAAACACATAAAGCTTAACAAACCCTACAATTTTTATGAAAACCAAAGAACAGGCAAGTGCAGAGCGAATTTGGAGAGGGAGGGGAATGGAGGTGAGTAGGAGGGCGCTAGAGAGCCTGGATTCTGCAAGGGCTCATAGGCTATGGCCTGGAATTTCAATTCTCAGCAAAAGAGTGATTCAACAATTTAGACTAACTTTACTTGTGAATACTGGCCTTTCCTTTTACATTGAGGGCACATCCTATTTATTGTTATATTCTCCACATCTGGCGTGACAATTGTACCCTAATTAATGCCATAAATTTGGCCAATGTTTGGTTGAAAAGCACAAAAATAAAAGGAGAAAAATCTGCCTGAGGTAACTCAGACATTTTGGAAAGGGAGATAGAAGATGGTAGAGAAATCATGCACTTTGGTTCATTCATTTCCTCCACATCCATTGAGCCCAGCAGGAGTAGGGGGTGTGCTGGGCACTCATGTGTGGACATCCGTGTCTTCCAAAGGGAAATGAACTGAGGTCCGAAAGGTCAAAGAAAAACCAACAATGAGGTGCTTTACCAATGGCAGGAAAACATGGTTTAAGAATTATGCAATTAAGAGAAAGAAAGGAAGTGACAGCAAGATTATTTTGTAGTCCCCACAATGGCCACCAAGTGACATGCTGATCCAACAGAGTGTTTGGCAACTTTTAAAAAGTCATTTTCAGGGCAAATAGATGAGAGAAGCAGACTATAACTCACTGGCCACTATACTGAATTGCCTTTGTAAGTTAAATATTCCTCATCTGAGGAAAGTTTACACTTTTAAGATACTTCACTTTATACAAAAAGTGAACAAGTTCAGGAAGGACAATATGATAGTTTGAAAAGAAGATCTGATGTTTCACTGTTAAAGAGACAAGAAACTGCTAGAACAAGAACCTTTAAACATTTATACTACAAGAATTCATGGCCCTTTTCAAATCACTAAAACATGCATGCTCAAATAGCAGCCACTCATACATTTTGTATCTTTGAAAGATGCTTAATGTTGTGAATAAAGGAGTTTAAGATAATCCAGGTTTAGAATATAACACCATATATACTAAAGGAGATTTTGAAAAATTAGAGTTTATAAATTAACAGTTCCCACTTTCAAATTCTGGCCATTTTAAAATTCATAAATACTATATAAGACTCAGAAATAAAATATTTTAGTGGAGATTAATAAACATTTTAATAGAAAACCAACAGTATGCAAAGCTTAGAATTCCACTGTGCCATAAGCAATGAGTTAAATACTGCCATGTTAATTCCATTTTGGGTTTGGCAAAATCTCTTACCCGGAGCCCGTGAAACCTTGGATTGCTGTAGAAGAGTTTCATCTGCTCAGATGGAAGTGGTCCTAGCACCTTCTGAATAGTAAAAAGTTGGTCAATTTCGCTTTCTCCAGGAAATAAGGGTTGGCCATCACTCAGTTCCCCAAGAATGCAGCCTACTGACCACATGTCTACAGACTTCCCATAGGGAGCTCTGAAAAACAAAGGGAGAGATTATCCTGGTAAGTAAAGAAATAAAAGGTCTTTATCATCTCTAAATCATTCTGAAAAGATTAATGATTTGAAACACATCTTTGTATTTAAGAAATTTAAAAATACCACTAGAAAAAAGACTGAAAATGAGGAAACTGGACATCCAAGTAAAAATTCAGAACACAACTGAATAAATCTATACTAATAAAGATAACAATTTAATAACAATTAAATTTATCTAGTACATACTACTAATTTTAAAGCTGGGTATATCTTCAACACAAATGGCCTATTAAATCCTAATATAGTGCACATATCTGATGAGTAACACCTTACTTGGAGAATGAAATGCTTCTAAGAAATATATTTTCCAAGTAATTATATTTTAGCTCTCTAAATGTCAAAAAGTTATAGTTTATCATTTTTTAGTTCAGCTTCTTAAAATGTACTACTGACTTACATGTCTCCTTAAACAAATACTGAATATTATTTAACCATTTGATTACTTATCATCAGTTTCTAATACCTGACAGTGCTAAGCCCTATTATATTATCTACCTGAATATAATTGTATTCTACATACACAGGGCTCTCTGATAGCTGCTTCCCTCAAACATTTTTTAGTTTAGAAAATCTAGGTCTCCCTAACACAGTGTTGGACCTATATCCCAGTATCTATAGTGTTAAATTGCCTATGGCAGATAAAGAAACTATCCAAGCTTTGAGATGAGAAAGCCATAATAAAATATTTGAAAAAGAATATGGAATGAAATTCTAGAATGGCATAATGATATAGTAATAATATAACATTTTCAAACGAAAGCACTGTTAACATTATGCCAAATATGTTTCTAGTATAATACATCACTGTAACAATGTCAAAAATACATTTATCTCTCACTGCAACAGTTTGTCAATATTTCATTTCCTTCCCACCAAAACTTAAGAATCAAATGAGGAAACTTCATTTAAATATTTTGAGAGCTCTTTAGAGAAAGTTTATGATCTTTCTTTCATATCTGAGAGAAAGAAAATATGGTACATGGTACTAGGTGGAGAAACCTATAGAAAATCTCCACGCAACCATGACAAGCTATTTTTCTTCTATCATCTGATTTGAGTAATTTATGCAGCTGGAACTATTTTGAATGCCAAAGAAAAATCCCTGAGCATGTATAAAAATGTAAATTTTTAACATAAAACCAAATATCTACTGATTTTAATGGAATTTCTATACAAACAATATGGTTCTTGAACTAATACTTGACAAGCACTCAATTAGCAATATTCAATTTAGATCAAATTAGTTTCTAGTTTCCATTTGCTTTTGGCAGCTATTCCACATCTCTAAACATAATCTTAGTTTTCCAATGTCAGTTTTCTAGTAGGTATTAGTAGGCAACAAATACTCTGATGATTCACAATAAGGCTGTCCTAAAGACACAACCATATTATAATGAGTCCTAGTACACATGAGTCCTTGGATGGAGGTCTAAGAATGATTTAGTTCATATACATTCTTCATTGGCAAATAGTGCTCCTTATGTTAAAGTTTTAAGTCTCACCCAAAAGAAAATGAACTATACAGCCAGTGAATGTAGAAATGTATACAGAAGAAGTAACACAAACAGACACAAAATCAATCCTAAATCGGAGACTGGAAAGCCAAAACTCTGTTCACATAAGTGAAAGGATAATCATTATTTGTTTCTCAGTCTAAAGCATTTTTTATATAAAAAATGAGGGTCCACAGAGATAGCTCTGCGGACTAAGTGCCTGCTTAGGCAAGTGCAGGGACCAGAGTTCTATCCCTGGCACCACATGCTGCTCCGGCCCTGACCCCAGG